CACAAAGATTAATCTCACAGAATATTATTTTATGTTTCCATCAAACCAACAGTCCATTTAGAGATAAAACCAGTCCTGAGTGAAGACAAAGTATCGATTAGAAATAGAGGAAGTCACACAAGCTGTCGGAGAATGATGGTCAGGGCGTCTAATCACGTCCAGGCTCAAGAACCTCCCCTTTGTCAGCATGGGTAATTCATTCAAGAGCATCCCGTCCATACTGTGGTCGATGACGACGCGCCCAGAGATTAAAACCGACACTTTCCGAATGAACAGATGGCCCAGCCTCGGCTTAATGCTGCAGCCGCATGTGCGGTAGCCCTGCAGGCGTCTGCCAGCGTGATATATTATTGGTTGTGTGTGTGGTGTGTGTGGATGTAGTGGTGTGTGTGGTGGATAGTGTGTGTTGGTGATTATGTATGGGAGGTAGGGGGGTGTGTTGTGTGTGGTTGGTGGTGTGGGTGTGGGTGTTGTTGGGGTGTGGTATGGTGTGTGTTGGTATGTAGTGTAGGTGTGTGTGTGTGTGGGTGTTAACAAGATTGTAGCCTCGGGCTCCCTCTCAACCACCCGAGGTCTTGCTGAAACTGACCTGATATCCCAGGAAGAAAAGAAAGAGGGATCGCCGCCTGCTTTGGACTCAAGGCCCAAAACATGAATTCCTTGCTGTGCGGACTTGAGATAAGGAAATAGTGTACGGCTACCATCTCTCCTCTCACAGCAGGAAACAACAGAGATAAAGTGAATACTCCTGATTTGATTAAAAGATGCACTGCCGTCAAACCATACCCGCACCTCCACAACCTTTAATCCTCTGCCGTCAGACCTGTTAATGATTCCATACAAATCACATTGAGAAAGATAATGTTTTCAACAGCAGATACGAAAACAAATGAAAAGCTGACTTAGTGGGCTGTACTCAGTGAAACCACTTAAAAAGCTTTAAAAAGACACGAGGGACAATAGGACAAAGCACCTTAAAAACCATATACGCCCCATGTCTACATATAAACTATATCCAGACGCGATTAAAGAAGTAAACTCCGAATACACCATGACACACTCGGCGGAGATCACAACCAACACAAGCGAAAGGTCTTTTCCTCCCTGATATCGTCAGGGTGAAAACTCAAGAGTGCAAAGAGTATCAATAACCCATACAGAGATCATAGATACAGCCTGCGACCTCAGGTGTCAGTAGTGATATCCTCTGAACGAGTGGAGCTGAGTCAGCAGACCAACACTTCTGGTCACCCAGACTCTGCACAATAACCTTACACACGCGGCCATTTTTACCGCCGGCTATCTGTCAGTTATTAAGGTCCAAAGAAAACCTCTAACAAGCAACCAAAGAGCAAATATGAAAGAAAAAGTCCACACGACACAGGCTAATAGATCACAGTCCAGAGTTAAGTCGGTAGAAAAAATGTAAAAGTCACACGCTTTTTTTGTTGCAAACCGCTCCACCCCGACGTAACCATCCTTTGTTCCGACAAGATAAGAGTTGCGTCAAACAGGCCACTTGAGGTCCTATTAGTGTTCGGCTGTGCAGGTGTTCGTAGGTTAGTGAACCGAGGTATTTGCCAAATAACAACAGTAATTTCAAAACACGCCTGTGCATACAATTAAATAAATTAAATCCACATCAATTTAGAACGCAACCAAAAGATAAAAGTAGCGAGTACATAGAACATACCTGGTGGCGTGGCAAATAAAATAACAGATTTATATGACAAAGTATACTGCTTGATTTCAAGATCCCCAGGCCACTGTACTTTAATTTTCATGAGAAATCATTTGAATGACAATTCAAAAGCAACTCTCCATGCTTGTGACTTGTCTTAGCCACTGTGTGACCAGTACACTGAAGAGCGTCAAAAAGCTACATGACGACAGCATTCCCCTCACCCCACACAAGTCCAAACATAGTAGGTGGGGACATGAAAACACTGGCAAAGAGAATATAGCAAATATAAACGTATTCTCACAGCTCATAACAGTTAGAGTGTAGAGCGTGACTGAGGTTAATAAACTTTTCCAACCGAGAAGATGGTAGAGAACCATCAGCCTATTGCACAATCCTGGTCTAGAAATGACTACTCTGTCCTGGTCCTATGAGCATCCACTTCTTTTTCTCCTTCAACGGTGCCACATTTAGCCCTTTTTCCTTTCACATCCTAACTTCAATCCAAAAACCAGCATCAGATTCAAAATCGACGGCAGGCCCGCCCCCCGCCCCCACCCGGTTCGCGCAGCACGCCTCCAGGAGAGTACAATTCTCCCCAGAGTGAAAGGAGGCCGGCTTGCCCCGCAAAAACGACCGAGGAACTCCTTTAAAAAAAAAGAGCGCACTTTTGGAAGCATAAAGTGAACCCGGCCGGACCCGGGGCTAAGGTCTCGGCCACTACAGGTCAGCTAAGGAGAAAGGAATAGACTGCGAAGAGCTGCTCTGAGGATCAGTGGTCCGAGCCGCGAGGTTTGTAAATTTAGTCTCCCCAGTCTCTTCTGGCCCGTTTTTTGGCACGAGTTTCAGACGAGACGTGTGACACCCCATCACAGCTAGATATCCACAGAAGAAAGTATTAGTCTCAGCGGAGCCTCAGCCTGTCACTCTGAAAGAACACTGGAGTCTCTTCTCCCATTGTTCCTGGGCAGGTTTGGCCCAGAGATAAAGAGACTGCAGCAAGTTCCGCAACAAATGCATCTAGGAAGTACACGCATTCTGAGTATTGTGATGACAGTTTGAGTGGAAGAAACAGACGGTGAGTAGAAAAAATGAATTTAAATCAACCGGTTAATAGCCGAGGAAGGCCATTGTCCCTCAAAATTTCTCTTTCAACCCTTTATTTCTAAATCACCAGCACCTTTCATAGTGAACAAAGAAGGTTACTTTTCCCAACTACTCTCCATGAGATGTGTCCCAGAACGCCTTCCGTCAAGATTGCACCGCTGTCCCATATCTAATCTGGGCTTGTTAACCAGGCTTCAACAATTCTTTGAATTTATGAAATCAAAAAATTACCAAATTGGTTTTTTATTTTACCAAAAATTCAGGTTAACAGAAACACTCTAACGCCCCTT